TCTCTCTCTCTCTACTACTCTCTCTCTCTCTCTCTCTCTCTCTCTCTCTCTACTCTCTCTCTACTCTCTCTCTACTCTCTCTCTACTACTCTCTCTACTCTCTCTCTCTCTCTCTCTCTCTCTCTCTCTCTCTCTCTCTCTCTCTCTCTCTCTCTCTCTCTCTCTCTCTCTCTCTCTCTCTCTCTCTCTCTCTCTCTCTCTCTCTCTCTCTCTCTCTCTCTCGTATTTTATAGGCATCATTTAGGAATTCTTTCATGCTTTCGTGTTCATCTTTGATTCACTGAACATCGTCATTCACTCCTGCAAGCAGATGAACTTCTTATTTGAGTAGTTCATCCAATTTTCCATGCAAAACCGTTGCTAGAGGCTCTGCCATCTCTCTTTCCCTCTCTCTCTCTCTCTAAAGCTCTACTTTTTAATAGCTGGCTCTAAGAATCACTCAAACTAGAAGCATGATTACTTGTTTTCTATTGCTACATGGCTAACTATTTAAACATCAAAGGCAGTGGTTCCAGAAAGAGAGAAGTTCCGTTTTTTCGTATTTGTTTTTGCTTTCAGGCTGTGATTCTTTGAAAATTCTATTCTTCTTTTTTTTCTGGAATGTTTTTGATAGTGCTATTCTATTTTTGTCGCACTTTCAAAATGCTTATTGATTCTTTGCAAAATATGTTTTTTTTTATGAATGTTTTCAAAATGCTGTCCTTTGTCAAACTTATAAAATGCTTATGATTCTTTAAAAATGCTATTCCTTTTTGGTTTTATAAATGTTTTTTAAAATGCTATCCTTTGTCAAACTTTTAGATGCTTATAATTCTTTGAAAATGCGATTCCTTTTTTTTTTTTTGGAAATGCTATTCTTTGTCCAACTTTTCAAATACTTATTCCCACCTATAGTAAATAGTGCATCATGAAAACAATTTGAGTAGGTGGCATTTTTCATTAATTTATGGTGAAGAAGTTTTTATGGTGAAGATGTTTTATGGTGAAGAAGTTTTTCATTTTTTTATGGTGAAGAAGTTTTTCATTTTTTTATGGTGAAGAAGTTCTATGGTGGCATTTTTCATTAATTTATGGTGAAAAAGTTTTATGGTGAAGAAGTTTTTATGGTGAAGAAGTTTTATGGTGAAGAAGTTTAAATGGTGAAGAAGTTTTTATGGAAAAGTGTTTGTTGATTAGGCAGCATTTGCACTTCAAACAATATGTTCGCAGCATCTCATCCGTCCATTGTTTACATTGAACGATCGAGGAGCACCAGCTAGCATGGATTTGAAACCCAAAAACTATCGTCACAGATTGACCAAAATATTAACACGGAGACATGTTCTGTGTGTGTGTTTGCACGCGGGCAAAGATGAAATTGTAGTACTCTTCGAAATAATTCATCGTTGAAGTAGCTCTCGAGAACTGGATCCAATTCTTGATAATTCAAGGTAAAATTATGACTATCAGGTGAAAAATTACCTTGGCTTTGCTGGCCTAAGATATTCAAGTTCAAGAATATCAATTTTTAAAAATCATATTTCTTGTAGTCGTGGACATTTCTTTTCTTTTGTTCTTTGATAAGTCGAGGCAAAATCCTTCGAAGCTTATTTGTTTATTGTTTCAGAATTTCTGCCAAGTTTTACACTCAAGGAATTAGGTTCGTCTTTGGAGCTTATTAAGCAATGCATAAGGAGTTAGGCTCTCTCTTTTTTTTTTTTCTTTTTTTTTTCATTTTGGCGTAGTTAAGTGGTAGGAATCGAACTTGTTTCAAAAAACATTATTCTTAAGCCTCTATTTTTTGTTGTCTTTTTGTTATTGGGAATCAATGACTAAAGTAATGAAGGCTGTATCAGTCACTACAGAAGGTTCAATTACTAGGGGGCTCGGGACTCCGGACCGTTCCTGATCTAAGTTTGGTGAGTGGACTCGGCCGAGTAGTATATGAGCCTGAAAATAAAAACAAAAAAGTGTTAAAAACAAAAATAGTGAAAAGAAAAATAAACTATGAACAACATTAAAAGTCCCAAAAAGATGGAAATTTATAAAAGATAATATTTCGGAAAAAAATGATTTATAGCTGACATAAATAAATAAATAAAATTGGAGAACAAGAAAAAATAGAAAAATATAGCATAGGATAAAAAAAAGGAAAAAGTTTAAATAAAACTGAGTCTCTAAATAATCAAATTAAAGCCCACCTCAAAAATTACATTAGAAGAGATTGTTTTGATACCCAAATATCTTCAAATTGATCATCTCAACATCAAGATGCATGGACATGGAAAAAAATGGATTTCAAGGTTTGAAAATAGTACATCTTGTAACGTATTTTGGAATGCCAATTTTCAAATTTTCATAGATCTGCTCGATCTACACTATTTTTGAAGCTTTAAATTTTATAATTAAAGATGAAAATATATTTTAAAGCTATCACAGAGATTTTCAATATTGAAACCACATTTCCCAACACTATTTGAAGGTGCGCTTTGATTGTTTAGAGCCTCGGCTCGAAGGTGCGCTTTGATTGCTTAGAGCCTCGGCATTTTACAAACCGCACTCTTTTTTGGAACTTTTTCTTCTTTTTTGAAACCCAAATTACAGTATGCTTAAGATTTCAAGAAGAGGCTCAAGATTGGGGCTGGGATAACCATTTGTGGAACAATAAAGGTAGTTTCAGTTTAAGCAGCAGTACTTGCCATTTATTCAAAGAGAAAACTATCGTAGAATCAGATCATAGAGAAGGATTGGGGCCTATAAGCAGGACAGTTCTCTTTTTCCTCGCATTCTGTTTCATTTTCCTCTTTAACTCTGAAAAATTCCTGCAGATAACAGATTAATCCTTAGGTTGCTGGTTTGAATCAGGCAGATTAGTCCCTAGGCCACTGGTTCGATTCCAGCAGGTTGGATTGTATTCATTATCCGTTATTTAGCCAAAAAACAAACTCAGAACAAATCCAACTTGGCATGTCAGAACATATACCTTTGCTCACATTCTCTGCAATATGAATTCAATAAATTTCAAACTAAAAGGAAGCTCAGATGACTAGAACAAATCATCCAGATTCAATATCTCAGATTGCAATTTGGACTTTGTACTCAAATGGAGAAAATACCGAAAAAAATGTGACATTTTATTATTAATGTATCCTGGAAAATACATTAAATAACACATAAGCAATCGTTTCACCTTATAATAAACAAGAAGTGTGCAGAGACACTAATCAGTTTTAACAATAACGGAATAACAAAGGCTGCTGATAATAACTGTGTGAATAGATATAACTGACTTGGAAATTGGGGGCTTTATTTCCCCCTTTTTTTATTTTTTTTGGGGGGTCGGGGAGGGGGTGGATGATCTCCCAGGCTATTAAGCACTGAATTTGACACATTTAAACAGGGGGGATTTCCTGTTGGTCATCTTCATCTGTTCCAAAATACCGATCACCGAACTCCCCCATTCCCGGAATGACTCGATATTCTTCATTAAGGTCAACATCAATCTCAGAAGTCACGATTTTGAGTCTTGGGAATTTCTTGCAGACAACATGAATTCCTTGAGGAGCCTGTGAAAGGAAGACATCTTTTTTGTGAGAGAGAGAGAGAGAGAGAGAGAGAGAGACTGCATCTTGATGAAATCATTAATTTCTCCACAAAGTCAGCAAAAGTAAGAAGAATGTGGATGCTTGTATGTCAGATGTCCCCAACGTCGCAGATCTATCTCTCTCTCTCTCTCTCTCTCTCTCTCTCTCACACACACACACATGCATGGACATAATGTCGGTGACAAAACTCAGCGTACTCTAAATGGATGAGGAGAACAAACGTACAATGAAGGCACAAACAAGAAAGGAAAAATAATGAAAAATCCATTGAGATGCAAACAGACATGAAACTGCAGATAATGACGGGAGCAACAGGTGGGAAAAGATTCATAATTATAAGAACTTACAGATATGAGATTAAGAAATATGATGTGAGACTCTGGAACTCCATTCTGTATTAGTAGAGATATAGCTTGAACAGCTGAATTCCCTGAGAAAATGAATCAAATCTCCATTACAAAAATGAAAAGTAAACTGTGGAATAAGCAAGCCAAAAAGTTTGAAGGCAATTTGCTCCAAATTCGGTACAAGTCCATCCATAAATATGCAAAAAATGTGTTTCAGAACCCCATCTGTAGAAAACCTCCCACACCTCCACAACCACACACAGGCAGAGAGAGAGAGAGAGAGAGAGAAAGGATTTTGCCACACACACACAGAGAAGATGCACAGAGTAGGTCTTCTGAATAAGCACCTTATGAGCAAGTAAGTATTTGGGATTGTATACAATGAGACCATTTACCTTTCTCACATGGAGATCACAATTACTTATAACCATCCGATGTGAAATCTGATAGTTTGGATATGTCATAAAGTTCGAAAAAGTTTCTTTTGAACTTTGAGCTTGGTCAATTAAATGAATGTAGCCACCCAATATCCCATCCAATGGTCAAGATTAATTGTGACCACCTTGTACCAAAGGTAAATGGTCTCATTGTATACTTTCTCCAAGTATTTTACCAAAGATAAGACAGTAGGAAAGAGAAAAATATGATCCTTTTTTTTCTCGAAAGTGGAAAGAAAAAAATGACCATAATCCCCAAGATGAGAGAAAATAGAAACCTGTGCCAAGAACTGGGTCCAAGAGGAGAACATGGCGATCTGAGATGTCCTTCGGGAGTTTCTCATAAATTAGCTGAATGGCAATACAAGAAGATTAAGAAAAGGAAGTCAAATACGTGACTACGAAAAAAAAAAGACTACTATAATTTACAAACCTGCTGACCATTGTCACCTTCACGATGGATAAGGATCTTTCCAATTTTAATCCCCTTGCAACAAGCGCGTAGCGCATTCTCCATGCTTTCCCCACTAACATAAGTGCAGTATGTAATGTAAACAAATAATAAATTTGGAAAGGAAGATGGCAGAGAATAAAACTGACAAGCTTGGGTTTTGGAAGACAGCATAAAATCTAGTTAAATATTGAACAGGAAATGTCTGTCAGATCCAAACCTCCTGATAATTGAAACTCCACAAAGCCTTTTGCAGAAGTCCACTCCAGTATATACGCATCCTGCATTTGATGTTGGATTTAACCAAAAAAAAAGGTGTTTGTAGCATATTACTCTCAACCTCGATGGACCAAGTGACAACGACATGAACGACTGGATGGACCAATTGGAATGGACATGAACAAACAATAACTCGTAAAAAGGATTGATATCCGAAAGCAATAGGGGTGTACGTTTTTTTGTAAACCCTATGATAAACCCCAATTTACCCCAAAAAAAAATATAATGCAATGATTGAGATGTAAGTTCTGATCAAGTGTGGGAAATGAAGGCAAATTAGCGGTAATTGGCGACTGCTTACCAGTTGGAGTAGTAACCTGCTTTTCAGTAAATGGAAGATGACCCAGACCATGTTCGACAACCTATGACCATGATGCACAATTTTGTATCAGCACATCTAGTTAAGCAAAATATGGGATGTGAGTCATAGCAAAATAATGTACTAACCAAACGGATCAAGCGATCTGCATAAAAAACAAAGTCATGCTTCGTTGTTTTAGCATCACGTATCAGAGTGTGCATACCACGAATCTAGATAAAGTCCTCACAGAAACAGTAAAAACAAACAGTACTTAAGTTCGAGCAGTGAAGATACACAAATTGTAAACAAGAAAGGGAGACGATTTTTCTGTTGAAAGCTAAGAGACCAAAGAGAAAGAGAATATAGAGAGAAAGAGAGAAGATTACAAACTATTAAACTCAATCGGTTTACCTGAAATGTTGAATGAATGACATAAAGGTTTGGATATATTTTACAGAGGTCATGCTGCCCAAGTTTTGTACGAATGTGTTGCACTATCAAATCTATAGCCACATGGTTATCTCCCCCACGAGGGATGATGATGTCTGCATACTTCTTTGATGGAAGTATAAAATCATCAAAAGCAGGCTTCACAAATTTTGAATACTGCATAATTTAATAAACACATGAAGAATATATACCGTAGGGCAGGAGAAAAAAAACAGCAGAGCCAGTAGCTAACATTCAACACTACGTATATCCTACTATGGAAGAAACATGAATCCAAAAAAAGAATAGGCACAAATTACATTAGAGATAAGACAACCATAGAATTATGAAACACACATCAAATTTAAGAATTTTTAGTCACGAGAAGTTCCAATGGTGATGCATTACGATTCATTATCAAAATTCCTGATCTGAATCTGAAAGCCAGTCATTGAAAGAAAATATTCATACGAGTTGCATCCACTAAAACTTTGGATTTCATTTCTTCACGAAACAGCAATTCATAACATGTCAGTTTTGTTAAATTTGTTAACGTGTATTTTTTAGAAACCGTATTAGTTTTTATGTTATTTTATTATGAGTGATGCAGTGAGATTGTACTTGTAAGCTTGTGTAATAAGAAGTTATGAAACTACTAGGTGGTTAGTAGTTATTGTTGTAGGTTGGCAGTTAATAGTTGCAAATGGGTAGTTATTGTAGGAAATATGGTTGTTAAAACTTCTATTTAAATAGAGGTTTGTGGTGGGAATATTGGGCACGTGCGTTAAGGTTAATCTTGTGTGTTGAGATTGTAATGCCTTTGTGTACCTCATTTTTCATCTTTGAATGAAAGATAAGTTTTTCTTCCATCTCATCTTGGTGCTTCTTCTTCTTTCTATTTACTTGTGAGTCTTAGGCTAGTATAGCATTGTTACACTAATCGAGAAACGGATATTTCTGGGATCGTGGAATCCATTTTTCTCTATATGGTATCAGAACCACAAGGGTGGTGGTGATGTGTCTTGACTCCCTTGATGAAGAATAATTTTTTCTTAAGATGAATTCAGGTGGAATGATGAATGGTTTTAACATTAAGTTGCTCGACCAATCAAACTACAAGATATGGAGTTCATGTATGGAGTCTTTACTTGATGGTGAAGACTTATGGAAAGTTGTCGGTGGAAATGATAAGGGTGTTACTACACCGAAAATATTGATACATTCAAAAAATGGGGGGTAACAAGTGCAAAGGCTGATTCCATCTTGAAGAGATCTATTTCTCATAATCTATTTGATCACATTGTGAACTGCAAATCGGCTTGTGATATTTGGATTACTCTTGATGGGTTATTTAATAAGAAAGATGTGGCTTGATTGCAATTGTTGGAGAATGAGTTGACTATCTCAACTCAAGGTGATCTTTCCACATCCCAATTCTTCTTGAAATCAAGAATCTTTGTTCGGAGATTTCTCTTCTTGATCTGGAGGAACCCATTTCAGAGGCACAAATGAAGCGGCACATCATTCGTAGTTTAAAGAGGGAGTACATTCCCTATGTTATTTCTATTCAAGGGTAGGCTAGGCAGCCATCCTTGGTAGAGTTTGAGAATCTTCTTACTTCACAAGAATCTTTGGTCCGCCAAATGGCCGGATTTTCAATTTCGGGAAATGATGGAGATGATCAAGTGTTTAATTTGTTAAAGTGTATTTTCTAGAAACCATATTAGTTTTTACGTTATTTTATTATTAATGATGTAGTGAGGTTGTACTTGTAAGCTTGTGTAGTAAGAACTTATGAAACTACTAAATGGTTAGTAGTTATTGTTGTAGGTTAGTAGTTATATTTGTAAGTGGGTGGTTATTGTAAGAAATATGGTTGTAAAAACCTCTATTTAAAGAGAGGTTTGTGGTGGGAACATTGGATCGCATGTGTTAAGATTAATCTTGTGTGTTGAGATTGTAATGCCTTTGTGTACCCCATTTTTCATCTTTGAAGGAAAGATAAGTTTTTCTTCCATCTCATCCTGTTCTTCTTCTTCTTCTTTCTATTTGCTTGTGAGTCTTGGGCTAGTATAACATTGTTACAGTAATTGAGAAGCGGATGTTTCCGGGATTGTGGAATCCGTCTTTCTCTACAAGTTTACAAAACTTCAGAGTTCATCCTGCCGCATATATATCAATTTATCTGGACGCTTAACTCATGTTAAACTTAGGGGCACAAATATCAAATGCAAAAAGAAGGATCAGAACATGATTGGGCAGAAGTGGACAATGATTTAAAACTTGCTGAGCCCAACTTAGGCTCTGCTGAGTCCAGTCAAGCCAGTGTCCAGACATCCCCCAAAACACTGTGGGGTCCTTTCTGGTAAAGAATAGCTTGAGTTTTTTTTAGACATGACATTTTTTAAACAGGACTCAGCCAAGTTCTGAGACTCCGACAAGTCTCAAGGGGCTGACAGCTTTTTTTACAATACTTGTCCACTGGAAAATGAAAGTTGTTATTTATTATTCTGGTGCCTTAGCGGACTCCCTTCTACCGTAGCCTTCCCTCCTCCCTCCATCAAGTCCAACAATTCACAAGCCAAAGAAAAAAGAAAAGAAAGGGCCAAATCTTGGATACATGAGATTTAGGTTCTTCGTTTTTCGGTTTGGTTACAATTGTGAGCTAACAGACCTTCTAGATCTGAAGGCCAAACACCACAAATGAGGGGGGTTTGCCTGCCAACCTCTGTCTCTCTGAATTTCAGGACAAGCACTCTCGTAAATTGCAGAGCAAGATCTATTTCTCTCTCTTAAAATTAAAGAGCAATCTCTCTGACTGTGAATTGCACATCAAGCTCTTTCTGTAAATTGCAAAGTTCTCTCTCTCTCTCTGTAAATTGCAGAGCTATCTCACTATCTTGTGACTTGCAGACCATCTACCTCTCCCACAGTATATTGCAAAGCAAGCTCTGTCTCCATAACTTACATAGCAACCTCCCCTATGTCCATTGCAGATCGAGCCCTCTCTCTCTGAAAATTGAGAAGCAAGTGCTTTTCTCTCTCTGAAAATTGCAGATCCTGCTTTCTTTCCTTCTTTAAAAATTGCAGAGTGATATCTCTTTTTCTCTCTGTAAATTGCAGAGCAATCTCTCAAGGGAATTCTGGAACAACCATCTCTCTCTCAATAAATTACAGAGAATTCTCTCTTTCTCAATATAAAAGGCAAAGCAACCTCTCTCTCTCCATAAATTGCAGGGCAAGTTTTGAAATTCAGAGAAAAAGATTGATTGCTCTGCAATTTAAAGAGAGAGAGAGGCACATACAGAACCATTAAAAAGGCCACTTTTGGTCGATGCTTTGAAATCACCATGTCATTGAGATTCTACACATGGGGATCATTTGGGTAGCATAGCCCAGACCATGGCTTCTTTCCAGTGAATGGATGGTGAATTCGCCTTCGCCAAAGGGGAGGTGGTTCCACAGTTTCATGGTTGGCACCTCCCTTCACAGCAGGCACTACTGACATTCACTAGCAATCATGAGCTTCACCCTTGCATCGGAATGATCAATGCCATAATCACTTAGGAAATTCGAGGAAGCAGTACCCAATTAGTGAGTTCATTTCACAAAGGATTAATATTGAAACTTTGCTTCCACCCAAGAAGTATTCCCTTAACGTATTCGACATTTGTCTCCCTGCCATGGGCAGCATTTTTTACTAGTTTACCAGATTACTTGTAACTTCTACATTTAATCCAATACAGTTAACATTGTCAAAAAAAAAAAAAGGTATTTGACATTCGCTAGACACTCATTGCCCTAGCTTTTTAATATAAAAAGTTTTTGAGGACGGGCATGTTTTGTCATTGGTAAGGAGTAGAATAGATATTTTTAGCTGTTAAAAACAATGAATGCTCTAGTACGTGATCTCACAATAATGTGGTGATTTCATTCCCCATCATAATTAGCAAATACCTTTGTTTCTTCTGAACATTTCTACTTTACCCTTGATTAATCACCTAGAATACTCATAAACAAAAAGTTACTATATTAAGAAGGGTATCGAGTGTCCAAAAATATTGAGCAGGTTAAAGGAATACTCCATAAGACGGAATATACAAACCCAATACACAGATAGATAGAGAGAGAGACAGCCCTCTTAGTTGTTACCGAGGTCAGCAGCCAAGCTGCAACCTCTGTGTGTGTGTGTGTGGGTGTGTGAGAGAGAGAGCGAGAGAGAAACTAAATGACATGACCATCCAATCCAAGCTTTCTACAACATCAATGGTGCCCGACACTTGTAAGATTTCTTGCAAACACCCCCCCACCCACTGAATTCAACAAATAACCAATATTCTATGTTGTCTTCAACTTTTCACCGTAAATTCCAGCCACCTTTCAGTTGATTGGTTTATTTCCCAGTGAAGCCATGTACGTGGAGAGAGCTTGAAAGGAGGAGGTAAAGAGAAAATAATTCTTTGTGAGTGAGTGGGTGCTCGTGTGTGTATGGGAGAGGATTTGGTCAGCCCTTGAGAGAATTTCTACAGGGTCCACCCAAGGCCAAGATAACCATTCGATGGACATTTGTACGACCCCAAAATTTTGATACCACCTATCCTCACCCTAGAGAACAATTAAAAGAAATAACATAAGGAGTCCCAGGCAATATCCCGTTTTAGATCTTGTCAGGGATCAAAATTGGTTCATTGCTAAGACTTAACACCATGGCCATGACAATCAAGTACTGACATTTTTTTATGTATAGAAATTCCCTTTTGGAAGGAAAAACTGTGTTCTCTCAAGCAATTTATAGAGTGGTAATAAAAAAACTTAACCATGTACATTTGTAGCATGTCTAGATCCTAAACAAAATATGCTTCCCACTTAATGGGTATTGCCCAATATATTCATGAGTGTTCTTAATTACAACTCATCCCAAAATCACATTCCTTAGAAAAATAACATCTGTGCAAAAGGAAGCCTAGAGAACCAGTAGCAAGAAGTAATTTAAGAAATAATAACAAGTGTTGAGAGTTAGAATAGCATCTCACTGACCTGATCAAGAACAGATCTGATATCTCTACCTTTCTCAACTGTGTCACGCCTTATCCTCCTTGCCAAGCGTACATCAGCATCTGCACTGAAAATTATAGTATGAAGACAATCAGAGTAACAAGTGAAACAATGTTTAGTACAGAGCAAATTTCACAAGAAACAATTACATGTCATTGTGTCCTTGTTGTACACATTCTAAACAAATTGATGAATGCTAAAACCCTAAGGATATAAGCCTTTCCAAGGAAAGTATAAACATTTGAAGATACAAAGAACAGATAGAGGAAAAGAAAAACCTGTATCAACAAATATCTTCATGTTCATCAAGTCACGGACCCGAGGATCATGGAAAAGTAGTATCCCCTCCAAAATGATAACATCTGAAGGGTTTACCTGCAGATGACTTGAAAAAATGAGGTGCAGAAACTAAGATCACATTGAGGCTAAGTTTTCAGACCTGCCAAGACATTTTATGTTCAAATTCTCAGATTTCAATTGTAAATAAAAAGAAGTTAAGCACTTGAAGAATATGCTACGGATAAATATAACTTTCATCAAGGAGAACAGTCCAGGGTAACTTTCTTTTCAGGAGCACGCCAAATATGATAGAACCTTGCATATTTGCCGTTGGACCTTTCAACAATTAATTCATAGTAAAAGCAACTTCTGCAATTTCTGGTCAGACATAGATGTGTACTAAAAGTAAGAAAGTAAAAGGAAATTTTGATAGGGAAGGGTCCAATCTAAGTCTCATTTAATGTAAGCAGAATATTATAGTTCTTTTTCTTTCTTACCATAGATTTCCAAGCAACATGTAAAGTCATTGCTAGTAGAACTTTAGCACGTGTGTGTGTGCATGCATGCGTGCCTGACCATGAGCATGAGAAAGGTACCTTGCGTGTCGATGCTTTGTGGCTTTGATGGGTCCTAAAGTTGTAGTTTGGAATATCAACAGCATGTCCATGTTTCAACATTTCCATACAACGAAGTAGCTCATCTGTGTCAAAGGCATCTGAAAATGTGGAGAAAATTGGTCTTCAATTCAAAGTTACAATAGAAAGTAACATTCGAATTGTCATGGGCTACCAATATTTTTACAGCATGGGGAATGGAATCCAATGCAGATACCCTAATTTGCAACAAAAATTCTCACATGGGATAGAGTAAAATAGTCATATGACAAGTTGGGCAAACTTCAAAGATGTAAGAAGAATGAAAGACTTGCTCCTAAATTAAATTACCGAAACCTACAAGGTAGAAACAATGGGTCTAATTCACAAAAAAGACAAGAATGGCCTGCTTAGATAGATTAAAAGCCACCCAAAATTCATTTATAATCTCAAGAAAGAGTGATCAAAATCCCGCACAAAAAATATGGAAACATGATAAGAACAGAACGCAAAAAGCATTGTTAAAAAAAAAAAAAAGCATAAGCAAGCATTCTAAAGACAAATGTAATTTCAAGACAAAGTGTCTCTATCTTACCAGGATGGTCAAAGTTATACTCATGAGCCCGCTTTAGCTCCTCATCAGTCAATGTATGATAAAAAGAATCCTGTAAGTCCACACACACATAACTTTACTATTTGAAAAAAACTGCATGCATTAGCAGGTACAAGGATGTAGATCAAAAGAACACACTAAAGTCAATATATGTCCAACCAAATGAATGACAAATAAAAATAAATCAAATACTTGTGAAAATGAACCTCAACAAGAGTACAATAATTGTGGGCTTATAGGAACCAAACAGCTTTAATTAAACAAGGAATTCAAAGTGACAATGTGCTTTTCTTGGGTAGCATGCACGGACAGTGGTTGATTCTTTTGCAACTTTGGGTGTAAGCGGCAAAGGGTTGGGATTATGGATTTCATGTCATAATAGAGCAGTACTTTATCTCGAATATCAATTTCATATTCTCTCTTTTTATTAAATTATTAACCATAGAAAGGGAAAAAAATAGTAACGTGGCAATGTAGGGAGGACATTGCAAAGGAAGCAGAGCTGAATACTCAATAAGGCCCAGGTGAAGTCCTTAGACGGAGGAAAGCTGCATAGCATGACTATGTTTCCTCTTAATGTGACATATTAAGATGACTTGCCTCTCAACTGGCAAAGAGGGGTAGAGCAGAAAATTAAAAGAGAACATTAATCTAAGGTAAAAGAGCTTAAGGGGCTCTTTGACAGCGTATCCACGCTTGGCCAACAGAAGAAGGCGACCCAAAAGGGAAAAATGGCATGAGATTAGGATCAATCATGCGTTTCATTCTCCTATTGTGAAAAGGGTATGTGTTGGGTTCGGTGGAATTTATCATATATCATAAAAGTAGCAGATGTTATAGACAAAGCATCAAGAAACAAGTAGAAAAGTTACTTGGTTAACAAGTACAACACGCTGGTCCCGAAGTTGCTCAATAATCATATCACAAACAGTAGTTTTTCCTGAAGCAGTACCACCAGCAACTCCTGCCCACGATGTAAGAAAGGTCATCAAAATGAGCAACGAATTCTTAAGTTTCACTTACAAACAAAATAGAGACAACCAACATTAACAATCAGGTATTGATTTAATTATCATGAAATACATTAATGGAACTGGATTCTATGGATAAACAAGAAGCAGCTTAGAGAAAAATAACTGATAATAGAGAAAAAACCTCTCTTCAGAATGTGAGAGTGGATTCTCACTACTTATTTTTCAAGTTCCTTCATACTCCAAATCCAAAAATCGGTAGAACTAGAACTCATTTCCTTTTTATTTTTTATCATTAATAGAACTCATTTTCAGATATGTGGATAAAAATTACGGCATAAAAATTATTATAGTGCTCTCAACATTAGGTACATGCAAGATAACAAGCCCATAATGCCATGTGAAGGCCACATTGATTATTTGAAGAACCCTAAAAATGTGTCATTAAATAGAAGAACATAAAAATAAAGAAAAAACAAGATCAATTTCCTCAAGAAAATGAGGGCATAAAGAAACAAAGGTGAACCAATGATTATCAAGACTAAGTCAAATTAATTGGTCTGACTGGTCATACAGCCTACCAATGGATGGCTTAGCTAGTTTGGTCCACATCAAAAATTTCATCGATACCGATCAAAACCAATGTTTGACTGATTTTGGCTTAGTCAAACCAGCCGACTTTTGACCCATAAAAAAAAGTGGGCAACTTTCTTGTAATATATTTCATATATTTATACTATTATTTCTTTTTTTTTACATTTGGTCTAACCAGTTCGACGAGCAGTTGGACCTGTTTTGACTGGAGTAGATCATAGTTCTCAAGCCCGGACCAGACCAACTGGTCAGAATGCCTACCGTTGGCTTTGGCTAGTCTGGTCCAAAGCAAAAACCAACTTTAGTCCAAAAACAGTTAAACTTAGTAGGGCAATTTTCTTTTTTGTAATATAGTTTATATTGTTAAACTATTATTCCAATTTTTTATTTCTTTTTCAAAATTGGGTCGAACCAGTTCGACAGCCAACCAAACCCCTCGCTCGGAAAATAGTTTGATTGTAATAACACCCTCAATGATTCAATGGGCAGCCATATTTTGATAACTTTGACGCTGATTTTTTTTTTTTTTTAAACATCAATTTTGGTTATAAAGAATGAATGACTCAAATTCAATTATCTAAACAAAGAACCTATTCACCTATCTATGCATCAATCCAATTAGAATATACACAAATTGACTTCGACAGATACAAATGGCCATATTTGGAACCTTTAATTGCCATGTTATATTGGTTCACTAAGCCAAAAAGTTATAAAATACCACCAATGTAATCACGATTGAATATGACATTGACATAGAGATTTGAAGGAACAGCAAATAAAAACTAAGATGGCTCCAAAAATGATGCTCAGCATCAAAATTAGCTACAACCAATGAACAAAAAAACGACCGCCTTGCTAGCTAGGCGGCTTTTTTTCAAAAAGGCCTAGCCATGGACCAGGAGGCCTGCTTAAGGCGAGCCCTTCAAGTCGTCCGCCTAGGCGCCGCCTCACCCAATGATGGAAAAGAAAACTAGGGCAATGGATAAAATCGTCATTTTACCCCCTAAAAAGGGGAGGGGGGGGGGAAAGGGTTTCGGGGGCCATTCTTGTTCCCAAAAACATATTTAGTGAAGGTCAGAGTGAGAAAAAACTTGAAAAAAACCAAGATTTTGAAGATTTGTAGAGAGATCAAAAAAACTTTCGACCTCCTTGAATGGTCACGAAATTAAAGGATATTCATCCCCAATCTTTTTGAGGCTTTTAGTGGTTGTAAAAGAGGAGATTTGGGAACCAAAACAATCGGGTTTGGCCTGATATCGATTCCACTTCAAGAAGGTTGGTATATTTCAATAGTTTTTATGTAGTTGTTTTTTTCACAATGTCTTATGATGTTATTCTTTACTATTTATATTTTTTTTGTGATACTTTTTTTAATTTTTTTGATAACTATTAACATAATTTATTTTTATTTTATTTTTTTTTTTGTGATACTTTATGATATATATTTGATATGTTACTGACTATTTGCATTATTATTTTCCCATTTTGATATGTACTTTTGGTCTTTGGGAAAGCAATTCAATAAAAAAATCCATTGGCCCCAAATCGAATGAATATTGTTTTTTTACCTTTTTTTTAGTTTTTTTAATGTTGCTTTTGAGTTTTAATTATTTAATTTACAGTCTAAAGTAGGCCTACCTTTTTGGTTTTTGTATTTCTTGGACTTCTATAGCAACGGGGCTTTGACCCCTGTTTTTGGCTTTAGTTTTCCTCTTTTGTCACTTCCCTTGGTGACATTTTGTCTTGTATCTCTTTAACCATCTATGCGATGTTAACAGTATCAAAAAAATTTATAGTCTAAAGTCGTAATGTTTATGTTTGATCTGTACTTCTGACTTCTACATTTTGAACAATATATTATATACAAAACTTACTTATTAAATAAAAAAAAAGTCATTTCTATATACAATGAAATGGGGGGAGGTGTGGGAGGGCCAAAAATCTGCAAGGATCAGCACTTCCCCAAAAGGCAGGCCGCCTTTGTCTCTGGGCGCCGGCCTAGGTGGCCCAGAGACCAAACCGCCTAGGCAGCCGCCTCCGCATTTTTTAACATTGGCAACAACATATTCAAACCAATTACCATATCTATGCCCCACAAAATTCTCATTTTCTGCAAAAACAATACAAACTAAAATGAAAAAAACCTATAACAACAACTATTAGGTCAAAAGTTGGAAGAAAGGACAAAAGATGGATAAGCAAAACCAAAATAATTCCATTGTCAGAACAATAACTTCTAAATTTGCTCATCAAAATTAAGAAATTCCATCAACATAGAATCATATTATGAACCATAAAATCAACATAACTCGAAGTCTAAAATGACTAAACTATCTCTACTAGAACATGGAATAGAACAAAAAGTTGAAACAAAAAATAATTTCCATAGTAATAGTGAAGATATTATGACACAGTATCCTCTCTTTTCATTATTTTCTGCTTCTTATATAGTTTCTTTTGTTTACTATTTTTTGCGAATTTCCATCTTTTGAATTGATTCAGTTGTTTACATCATGCAGTTTCCTATAATGAATTATTATCAACATATACAGATGGTATGTTGTAGACGGTTCCTTCCTAAGTGTCTTGATGCTTTCTATACGTTCCATTGGTGGTAATATAACCATTTCCTAAAACTAGGAAGTTCTCCAATATTAGCTTATGATGGTACATCAGCAATTTGTACAGTAATCAATATAATGGAAGTTTGGTCAGTTTCACCAAGAGAGCACCAGAATATAAGATGTGCATGTAATATAGTATAAACTTAATGTGATGTCACTTTATTTGGAATCAATTTCTCAAAATAATAGAACTTATACCACCTATTCTTCAAATTTCTAACCCACCTCATAAAATCTATAACGAAATAGCCATGAAAAGGCTTTACATTTTAAAAATAAATGCAAAAATAAATAGAAGCCAAAGGTAAAATAATATGTTGATATCCTTATGAGAAAAGCATTTAAAAGAAGGTAGAAAAATATTTTGATAATATTTTTCTCTCCCCATAAGTAGCATATTCTTTTATAGATATTTTTTCAAATAAACAGACATCAAGGTTAGCCCATTAGTAGCAATTAGTTAGTGCAGCCTATGCAAATCACATCTACCACTGCACTTAAAGGACGAAACTAAAAGCTCACCTATGATAAATGGTTGTTTATGCACATCTTCATTTGTAGAGGTCGATGGTTTATCCACTTCTGTAGCCATTTTATTCTCTATGCCATCCAAATGAAGCCCAGAAAAATGAACTCCTGCTGAAGCCTCCAATAGATCCACTACAGATTTAGAATCCATAAACTTGAATCACCAACCTACACCAAAGAAACATTAGCAAATTACTTGAAATATCAGATGAAAGAGATACGAGAAGAATACACCCCAAATGCATTTCATGACAACCCAGTGGCCTATTAATAATATATTGCATTAAGTTAGTGCTGTTCTTAGCAATTCATTTAGGCACATACAAAAACAGACATGTTTGCCCCAGAAGTTCTCCAATCATAAGGGATTCAAAAATTCAAAATGAGTACATAGAAGAAAATTGAAGCCTAATGAATCTGATCCCCATGAGAAGAAACGGGTGCCTTGAGTTTATCAATTAAAGATGTCAACAATCTCATGATCCAAGTGCCAAACATTCCAATCCTGTGTTCCATGATATAACTGAGCAGGAGAAAAAGACAACCATTTTATTTATTAGTAGTTGTATCAATCAATAAATATATTCAATAGGTAAGAATTCAGAGATCAGCAGCAATGCCTGATCAAAAAGATAAGCATAAATTCTACATCTAAGGTACCTCAAAGGTAGTACTCAGAAAACAACATTATAACCTACACTAAGCTATTATGATTATCATGAAATGTACATTACATTTATTGCATTCATTTTATTATAGGAGAATGTTAGCTTAGTGAGAAAAAGACAATGAGAGAGCAACGCATCAGTTATTCTCCATTACAAATTCCTCTTAGACATTTTTCCTAACCTCTAGTTTGGACATAATAGAGATATAACTCCTGATACATTAGTGGAGATCCAGGTTATCAGATCCCTCAAATTGGATCTCAATAGAAAGCAAAAAAAGAAAACAAATAAATCAATGTACAAAGATAGATGTGTATCATTTGCAGTTGCATCCGGAGTAGAAGAAGCCCATTATCCATAAAAGATAGTTAAAAGACAAAAATAATAATAGCTTTGACGAAGAAGAAGAACATGAAGAAGAAAGAGCTCCATAATTTAACTCTGTAAATTCGATGAATCATGAATAACCACTTATTCAATGCAGGAGAGTACGCCATAGCAACATCTATGAGTTGAGATTCAAAACCCATGAAATTGATTCACAGAGATAGAGAGAGAGAGTGGAAAATGCACATTAGAGATTCAATGCATGGAAGATTAAAAACTTACAAATGAAACAGATTGGCGGCGAGGTAGATATAAATAGAGAGAGAGTTTAGCACATGGAAATCAGAGAATCGGAGAAAAGGGGTAAGAGAGAAGGGGAAAATACATGAATTTAGAGATTCAGCTCAGGTAACAGGAATTACCTTGCGGTGAACAGCTTGTGACGTACGGGATCAGTAGAGAGAGAGTTTATAGACTTCTGTTGAGGTTTTCTCTCTCTAGAAATCACCTGGTTTCTCTCTTCTAACGTTCATAGAGAGAGAGAGAGAGTTTTTCGATTTCTGTTGAGGTTTTCTCTCTGTAGAAGTCGTCTGGTTTCTTTCGGCTCTAACTTCTATCGTTTTTAGAGAGAGAGAGGAGTGATGAAGACCCCTTGGCCACCTTCGACAAAGAGAGCAGTCACCTGCAGAGTAGGCATCGGTTTACACGAAAGGAAAGGAGATATATGAATGACTATTTACACTTTGCCCATCTGTGTGTTGAATATTTCCTGTATAGCCTTGGCCGATAACAACCGGTCGTGGTAGTACTATCACCATTTCCCCCGCCTCGCCCAACGCATTTAATTACCATTAATAAATTAAAAAAAAAATGGATAGGGGCACGTCATCCGCACTTAATTATCTAAAAAAAATTACACTTTATACCTTGGGATATAAATTACAATTATTTTTTTTATGACAAAGTATACAAACATATTTGTCTAGAAGCATATTGTGTATTTATTCCTCCTTTTCGCATAAGATCTAGTCAAGAGGATTTCTTAAACCTGAAAATTTTGGAGCATAGAGTATTTTCAAAAAAAAAAATTTGATTTTAATCTTAGACACATGTATCTACTTGTAGAAAATTTGGATTGTCTCTATTTAATATTGTAATGTTTTTTCATGCACATGCAACGTGTGTATGGTATTTTTTCTTTTCTTTTTTTTTTGAGGCCAGACATCACGTTGAGGAGGTTACATACACGAGATTAAAGTTCCTAAAACTTTTCTAAAATTGGGTTTTTTACTATACGAAATGAATGGACAATATGCTTAGCATGTAATCTTTTCTTTGTTGCAATGCAGCATACAAAACAATCAAAATGATTTTTTCGTTTGAGTAAGGGACTTGTATATAATAAAACCATTTACCTTTTATACAAGAAGGTCACAATTACTTACCACCATGTACTTTGAAATCTGATAGTATGTCGCAAAATTTGAGAAATTTTCTTTTGAAGTTTCAGCTTGGTCAATGGAATGAATGCATCCATCTCATTTCACATCCAATGGTTAATATTAATTGTGACCACGTTGTATAAGAGATAAATGGTTTCATTTTATACTTTTTTTTAAATATGTCAATGTTTGTTTAGTGTTTGAACAATTCATCTCAACCATCCAGTTTCAAAATCAACCATTGTTGGCAATGAATGGATGAGACATGAAGCACATTGAAAAAAATAGGAAAATAAGGCTTATAATTCCTCAAAAATGGATTTCAATCAATAGAACCAATTGATAAGGGCTTGGGGGTAGTCCTGCATGTGAAGATAAAGAAGTAGCACCATATTTAAAAATAAAATAAAATAAAATAAAATAAAGAAGCTGCACTAAACACTAGAAAGACCATCACCATTGCCATTACCACTCTTGCTTTTATATGGTTTTAGCTTGCTTTCCAATTGGAAGAAACTTAAAGGACTCAAATGGACCGGCTTACCTCCCACACCATTAAACAATTTCAAATTTAAACTCAAGGCATGGTGTGATGTATTCACTATCACTTATTTCAATAAATGAAAAAGTTGTATAAGGCGCCAGCCTTGTACTGTATCAGTAAGGTGCACCTAAAAAACCCATTAGAGAAGGTTGTTCATATGTTGGAAAACTCTCGAATCGATCATCTCGACCTCGAGAAGTATAAACATGAAAAAAAAGTGATTTCTAGTCCTAAAAATAGTTTATCTTCTAACACAGTACTTGGACTATCCATTTTCAAGATTTTCAAGTGTTTGTAGTTTAGCTTCATCGTCACCATTTTTAAAACTTTAAATTTCATAATTAGGAGCAACAATAGATTTTCATATAATCTCAAAGCTTTATGGCATCGAAACTGCATTTTCAACATAGTTTTGAGGTGCACCTTATTTCAATAATATAAGGTTGACACCTTATACAAACCTCACCCTATGCACTTTACTTCAATAATATAAGGTTGACACCTTATACAAACCTCACCCTACATAATAGCTAGCTAGTAAATGATAGTGAGATATTCGTTGTCCGGTAGTGCCCATCATAAGATTATCCGGATAAACTTATAGAAAGTTTCTTATATAATTTATTTTTGATATTTATCTACTTTTTCCTGTGCAGCTTTATCCGGTCCAGCCAAGGCCCCTCTTCATCTAAACAACATTGCAAATTAGTATTATACATAACTCTGTTTTTGTATGATACTAAACAATATTATACATAATACAACATACGTATCATTCCGCTTGCAAAATAGTATTATGCATAATATATTAATTCCATATAAAATAGTCTACTTTTGATAAAATTAACCGTCATCCAGCCACTTTGATTGTTTTCTAGATATTCATGGAATTCCTATATATTCGTCTATGATGTTCCACATAGTTTTAAATTTCTACTAAAATAAAGGGTTCTTAAAAATTGTTTGATGCTGGCTGGACTGTATTTCACCAATATGCAGTGTCAAGGTATAAAGCATCCATCTTAAATATAGGTAAAAATAGGTGGTTTATCTAAAAATAATTGAAACTAACCGTACAAATGTTTTCTTAATAGAATTATTATTTATAATCTTCATTTATTTATTTATTTTCATATACATGTATCCTTATAATTTAAGTCCAAAATTCCATTTCAAAAATAGATTTTTAAAAAGTGACTCATTTCTACGTAGACTCATAACAACCGTATCCTTAAAATAATGAATATATAGGATAACAAATTTGGCATGTAGATGGCATCTTGGCGACAAAAAAAGAACATCGCAAAGGAAATGGGGGAAATGAGCTTCCCATTATCGGTGACCACCGGCTGCTCATTTTGGGTATTTTCGAGACAAAAATAATTTTATTTTTGAGTTTATCGATTTTTAAATAAAAAATTATATGAAGAATTTCAGAAAAAAAAAAAAAAAAAAACTATTTCTATATTTTTGTGCTCAATTTATACTGTAAATATAAACATGTTGGATTACAAAACTTTCGCCCTTGTGAAATGATAGATAATATCCTTGGAAAACTAAAAGTACGTGAAGCCCAAAGTTTTTCTCATATGAAATGATAGATAATCCTTGGAAAGATAAAAATATATATATGTGAAGCCCATGAAGAGAGAGAATGGTGAGAACTGGCAACAAGAAGGGTTTAGAATTATTAGTGAGAGAGAAAGATGACATTATTGAGAGAGAAAGAGGACTCATAAACTGTCATTAAAAATTTCAAGATTTCTAAAAAAAAAAAAAAATTCTAGCTGAAATATTGGGTCCCTACTAACATCAACAAAAAAACCCAAGATTTTAGAGAGAAAAAGAGAAAGGACTCATAAATTTAATGTTTCCCAAGAAGATTGAGTGTAGTTGAAATATTTGGCTCCTAGTGACATCAACAAAGGAGCCCATGTTTTCCCACTTGCATTAAAGTCTCAATGATAAGTATGGTTGTCAACATCCAAAGATACCTATGCTATTCTCTTACCACTATCCAAAATTCCAAATGCATTTCATATGGGTCCGGTTTTGGCGGGTCGGCCGACTCACCAAAATATATGCGTCGTCTTGCGCAACATACATGAATCTTAAAGATGGATGTTAAAAAAATAGGTACCTCCACTAAAAGGTTCAAGTAAATTGTGGAAAAAGATAATATCAAAAAAAAAAAACAAGAATGGCGTGAGATCATTTACTTTTGGTATAAATTGTCACAATTAATCTTGATTATTGGGAGGTTACATTTACTTTATTAATCGAATTCAAAATTTAAAATTAAAAAAAAAAATTGTAAAACTTTGTGACACATTCAAACTATCAAATTTCAAATTGGATGGTCAAAAGTAATTATTACCCCTTGCAGGAATCGTATATAGCCTCTAAATATTTGAGATTGACGTATTTGACATTTAAACATGAACAAGCGGGTACAACTTTTTATTTTTCCATATATACGGAGGGGTGTTTTTATAATTTTTCCCAACAATATTTGTAACCCACGAGGAAACGAGAATATCGTGCCCCGGAATTTAAGTTTCGTGGTCCCGAGGGAACTTCTTAGAGAAAACTTGCCTTAAAGGCCGTGGTCCCACTATTTAGACCACGAACCAAATCTAAGCTAATTAGAAGCTAATTAACAAAAATTTTCATTTTTGAACGAGCAACTCGTGATTATATTTTACCTGCATTAAACTTTTAGTAATTTTGCAGGAATTTAGTGATAAGGACACGGTTTATATGAGTCCATGTAGAAATGAACCACCTTTCAAAAATCTATTTTGAAATGGATTTTTGGATTTAATTTTTAAGGATATGAAATCTCTAACATGCAATTATGAATATGAGAATTAAACTATATAATTCTCTTATCATAAATTCTTACGGTGACTTGGAAATCTATTTACATATCATCATCATCAAAGCTTTTTTCAACTAACTGCGGTAAGCTATACGAATCTTAGTCTGTTATTCTATTATATTAAGAGTCATACCCTCAATAAAGTTATAAGTTATCATATCTTTTTTCACTATTTCCAATTAGGAAATCTATTTACATATCTTATTATGAAATCTAAATATAAAAAATGGAACCAGAGCATATCTCTACACTTGAAAAATCTTGAAAAGCAATGGCCCAGATGACATATAATAAGATGCTGTATTTTTAGGAGTTGAAATTACTTTTCTTCATATCCTTATATCTCAAAGTCAATATGATAGATGGAAAAAGTTTATATAAGGACGCTACCTTGTAATGTAGAACTACGGATGCCCCTCAAAAATCCATTGGAAAAAGTAGTTTTAATGTTGAAAAACCCTTTGATTGATTATCTCGACATTGAGATGTATGACTATGAAAAATAAAAAGATTTTAAGTTTCGGAAATAGTGCATTTTACAACATATTATCTACACCGTCCATTTTCAAGATTTTCATATATTTATAGATCTACTTGATTTTAACCATTTTTTAAATTTAAAATTTTATAATTAGATATAAAAATATTTTTTGAGATAATCCTAAGAACATTTTACATCAAAATTATATACGATGATAAAATTTGAAGGTGCACCTTACCTCTACTCCTATAGATGCATCCATATGTAAACTGCACTCATGATAGATTGGTGGGGTTTTTTATGTTGGAATACTTTCTTTTTGTGGTTTTTCCAATGTGCCTTATGTGTTGCA